CTCCTCTTCTATACACATATGAGTATGGATGAATTTGTTTCTCTAGTCTACCCAGACTAACACAGGCTCTTTGTTGAGTTCATCCAGCTCTCAGGTCTGCTATAGGTATGGACTGCCTCCCACTTTGGGGTAGGGCCCATGCTCTTCCATCTTGGCACCTGGGATGATATTGGTTTGTTGGGGCTACTGACCAACATCCCATGACACTGGCAGCAGTCAGAGCTGCACTTCCTGGGGCACTCCGTCTCCATAGAACTTCTAGAGCTAGAGGCAACGGGCATCTGACCCTATCATCGGAGGGGTCCCTCCTGGTCATGACCCTTCTCACCACCTCAGCCCATCTTTGGATAGAGCTCTGGGCTCTTAAGACCTTGGTTCCTAAACCCTTGACTTTGAAAGTTGCCCCTTTTTAGAGCCTAAGTCACATGATTGGTCTGAGGTTCAGACTCAAAACTGACCACCATCAAGTCGATTCTGACTCAGAGCATCCCGATATAGAAAAGCTGCCCCTGTGGGTTTCCAAAACTAAAGCCTTGGCGTACTCTGCAGAGTGCCTGGTGGTTGTGAACTGCTGGCCTTTCAGTTAGTAGCCCAACCCACAACCACTGCACCAATCACTTGTCTTGCTTGAGCATTATGAAGAGGAACAGAGTCTATGGAATTCTGAATCAGCCTTCCCCTCTGGCCACTGCAGCTCTTTCACTCATGACAGCAGCTCTCTGCCAAACTCCTGGAGAAACGATGCCTGTAATTCCACCCATGGAGAGTCAGTCTCTCCTTCTAGCCACCTCTTCTGAGAACCAGACGCGACCTCTCACATCCAGGAACTGGCCCGTTACTGTCCATTAGACCTTGGTGCTGCTAGACGTTGACCTAACATTCCCACAAACAAGCTGACAGGACGTCCACATCAGACAAGGCCATTCGGTGCCCGTGAGAGATCGAGGGAAAAGTAGAGCGCTTGATCTTGTCTGCACTCAGGCCCAAGCATGGACATTGTGCAAGCCACGGGAAAGACCAAGCCTCTCTCTCCCCTGCTTGATATGAGAGGCTGCTGCTGCTTTATTGATAATAACTTTAATCAGGTTTCAGACTCTCCTCCTATACGCAGCTCTATAATCAGAGAATTGGTCCTCATTCCACACTCCGATACAGAGATAAAAGTCCTGCTTCCTTACTACGTTCCAAAATTATGAATACAAGCCCCAATACTACCATAAATCTTTCTTTTAAAAGAAGTTGTTTGCTAAAAAAAAAAAAAACACCTACAAACGGCTGTCATTGAGTTACTTCCCCCACATGGCACCCCCGTCTCTGCAGAATAGAGCCGCTCCATTTGAAAGGCTGCGACTTTGGGGAACAGATCACCAGGCCTCTCTTCTGAGGCACCTGTGGTTGGACTCTACCACCCTTTTGGTTAGGAGTCAAGTGCTTAATCATTTGTGCTACCCAGGGACTCCTAAGTCCTAACACCCTTAGAATGAGAAGTCCCACATGTCTGCAGACCGAGGATTACCTTTCAGGGCAACAAGCTGCAAGCCCAACTTGGCCAGCTGCAGGTGTGTCCCTGGCCGTCTTGGTTACAAAAGGCCAAAGAAACATGGAGGGAGAAACTCCAGCAAAGCTAGACTCTCCTTGAGTGGTGGTAGGGGGCATGTGGAGAGAATGGAAGCATGCCTCTGTTTACAATTTTGTTCTAGAGAAAAAGACAGATGCATGAGCCCCTTAGTAATTCTTGGGAGTGATGCCTGGGAGAGTT